ATTTTCAATGCTTGATTGCAGAACTTGACACACGCTGAGAGGTCGCCGTTGATAGTATGTAGTTGTCCAAGAGAGTAGAGATTAGAACCATGAGTAGGATGAGGAAGAAGGGACGAATGTTCGGAAGTTGGAACAGCGGATGGATGTTGGTAGATGTCAGTGGAAATTTTGGTTTGTAGTTCGACAATAGGCAGAGCTGCCACATTTCCAAATAGCTGTTGAACGATGATGGATGCCGTATTCTATCTAGCTGGTTAATTCGGTACATGTCTGCCAAAAATGAACTCACAATGACTTTGACCTGGTCAGGATGACCTAAGCCATAGACGGCGTTGATGAGCTTCAGGGTGTGAGCGATCAAATGGATTCCAATTTCTATATTTCCAATGCTCAGCTCAATTGCAGCCAATTCTTGATAGATCTGGATTGTTTCCAACGAATCTATGCCGGTCGCGCGTTCGGAGATGACAGCCGCCTGCCGCATCATCTTGATGGAGGTGTGTATGTAATTCTCAGCTTCCATCCTGAGAATGTCTGGATTCTCGATACTGCGTTCCTCCAATCGGCGTGCGGCTGCTTCTTTCTCATCATCATTTGCCGCTTGAAGCTCAGCTTGGGCGCTTTCGAAGAGAGTCAGACGTTGGAAATGCTCTCGACCTTGTTGATGGTACAGCATTGCAAGTGCTCCGTAGAATGCAGCCATGGTTGGGTGAATGGGTCCAAAGATCTGTTCGTGATAGGTGAGGGCGTCCTGCAGTAATTCTTGTCCGCCCTCAAGATGTCCGCGAAGGAAGGCAATGCGTCCTTGGTCAAACATCAAGTCTGCGTATCGGGACTGTAAGGTGGTTCAGTGAACTGAGAGTGTGGCAAAAACGAGAACACATACCTTGTGCAGCACTGACTTGACGACAGGAGCAATGTTAATCACATCTTCGGGGGCAACGACGCTTAATGTCTTGCGCTGTTTTTCAACCTCCGCCTTTCCTTTCTTAGACTTCTTCTTTTTCGATGACCCATTAACCTGTCCGTTGACCGGTCCGTTGACCGGTCCGTTGTCGTGTGCATTGCCATTCAGGTGAACCTTTCCGAGCTCAGGAGAATGATGCTCCTCCGACTCCGTCTCTTCGCTCTCCCACTCGAACTTGTACTCTTTCAAGGCGAGCTGGATGTTCATTCGCTTGCAAATCTCCCTCAGCAGAGGAGCGCGAGGGAGATCATTCTCGAAGTAGTCGGAAGCCAAACAGTACCTGAAACGTGTCGCAATGATGTGGATCAGGTCTGCTCTGACGGATTCGCGAGTGGCAGACAGCCATTCAGAAACAGGTTCAGAGGGTTGAATGTCTATAAGGTCACTGAGGTCGGGGGTAATCGTAGCAGCAGTCGAGGAGGGAGTAAGAAGGCAGTTGAAAAAGTGTGAGAGCATATTAGAGATTTCGTATCGGTTGGTTGTGCGGAACCAGCGGCGGAGGAGGTGCTTGCAAGCCCGGAATACCATCTCTCGAATCAGAGCGCCCTACAGGATATGTGTAAGCGACGGAGCACTCCAAATCTAACATACGTGCCTTTAGAAGTCGAAGGGTGAAGTCCATTTCGTACTTAGCCTGCTCGTACTCGTTGCCCTTCTTCACGTCTTCAACAACAGCAACCAACTTGCCTAAGTAGCGCATGTTAATACCTTTGGCGTGCAACCGTTGAGTCAGGCCCAACCCATCGTAATCGATGTGAACAGCATGACCCTGCGCCAATCCCGTCTCCAGAACAAATTCTCGAAGCAATTCATTTCTCAGGAATTTGGCAGCTTCGCGGACATTTTTGACGCCTTTAGGCTCCTTCGACAATTCATCTTCAGTGAGTGGCTTCAAGTGTTCCTCCTTCGATATACGGTCAAGGTAAGCGTCAGTGTTAAACCTGGGAAGCAACTCTTGCTCTTCAGCAGGTTCTTTCTGTTCTGTGGGCTCGAGCTTCTTCTCCTTCTCTGACGCTGAAGGAGAAATTGGAGCGTCCATGGCTTCCGAAATGGAGTTCTCAAGGTCGATTTCCTTCTCCTCCGTCTTCTCTTCTGTCGCTTTGCCCTCCTTCAACTTGGACGACGCTTCTGCGATCCTGTGCTTGCTAATCTGTCGTAGGACGTATCGATCAAGAAGTTCTGGTCGAAGAAGTGTTAACCGGTGAGGATAAGGACCAGCGGTCGATTCCGCCGAAACCTCTGAGAAAGGGGCAGATTCGAGGTCGTTTTCAAGAAACTCGAGATCCATCGGGTACAATCGGTCTATTCAGTTGATGAGAGAGGTTCATAAAGGGATAGGATACGAACATAGGTCAATGAGGTATGCACGTCCATCCGTTCCAAGCAAGCCATGTACCTCCCGACTCAAAGCGAGTTCCTTCGAGGTACCATCTGGCTGTTCAACGTTGTGCCTGTCGACTCTGAACAGATCTCCAACCTTCCTCGCCTTCTCCTCAAACCAAGGCGCTGCGTTGACCTTTGTGCTATCGACATCATCGGGGTCGGCAAGGCCGTAGACGATGCGGAAGTTGGTTTGAGGGGGTTCCTTGTTCCCTTCGAGGACGTCCGCGTCGCTCAAAAAGCCGCGCTCTGGATCCTTTGCCTTTTCCTCGTCCTCCTTTGCTCGCCATAATATCCCAGGCAAAAGGGACTGTCCAACCCAACGTTCACCCATGAAATCCACGACGGCAGTGCCCAAAGTCTGTAATCCAAGCCCAGTTTCTCCTCCTTCTCCAACACCAACGGCACCGATATCGAGCTCTTCGCAGGTCTCTGCACCTCGTACATCTTTACCAGCAGCAACCCTTGCAGCATCATCTCCTCCCAAGAAGCCTTTGAACTGAGCGCCATCCCCTCCAGCCTTAACGTAGAGAACGCCGTTCCAAACGTAAGTATGTTCGTCCGGTTTCTGCGTCTCCTTCGATTCCTCTGTTGAGTTCTCCTTCTCTCCGCTGTCCAGATCGCTGAATGGAACTAAACTCTCCATCTCACCGCGACCTATCCGCTCGACACCGCGGACGATTTCTTCCCTCAATTCCCACATCACCCTCGCCTTCATCCTTTCGCGCAACAGCCTCTCTGCAGGTTTGGCCCGCGGCATTTCCCTACAAGAGACGAGTTCTTCGTTCCAGTCCCGGACAGCGGGATCTTTGAATCCTTGGAGGAAAGGGAGCTGCATTCGAGTTCCATCTGGTTGTACGTTGGAAGGCTGAGGGACGAGGAAGGGGTGTGCGGGAGGGTAAGTTGGGATTTGAACTTTGGAAAAGAAAGAAAGAGGCGGGTCATCCGGAATAACTCCTCCACCGCCGGTGAGGAGCCAAATGTTTTCGTCGCTAAGAATTTGAAGCGTCTTGTTCAGTCGACTTTTAAAGGCGGGAGAAATGGAACAGAAAAGTTCCCAAAGGGTGGGGTACGACCTCTGGCCAGCCCGAGGAGATGGATCGAAATGGTGGTTGTCGGAGCGGTTGATCGTATACCCTCCGGCGTGACTGGTAATATGAAGATTGTCGCCTTCGACTATTTGAGCGTGGAGGTAAAAGTGATGGCCCTTCCTCAGACGAAGGGGATGTGGTGGGGGATTCCATTGAGAGAGGGAGAAGGAGCGTAAGTAAGGAGGGAGTGAGGAAACTTGAGGCGGTGAAGGGAAGGTTGACGTGTACACCTCGAAAGGAGATTGGGCAATATTCGAAGCAGAGGAGCAGAAAGACTTGACCCTCTCCATCGTCTGTGTGAGCGCGTCGGCAGCTGACGTGTCTTCACCCCCGGACTCTGTGGGTTTCGACTTAGATTTCCCCTTGTTGTTCTTCTTTCCTGAAGCATTCGTTTCAGGCTTCTCCTCTACTTCAGAAGGGGCTGGCCTGGGAAGAGCTTGTGCGCGAACTCCAGGGAACACTGAAATGCCTTCTCCAATCGCCATGGCATTCGGGTCGTAAACAAACCCATAGTCCGTGCCACTTGCTGTAGCTCCAGGATTAGACGGGGTCGAAGTGATGAAGTCCCTGAACTTTTGGATATGCACTCGGCTTGTTGGTTCAGTAAGAGGTCCTGTTACACGTCTTTTAGGTCAAGAACAGCAAAAGTGAACAGACACAGACTGTCGACCACTTTTAATATCCTCTTCTCTCCCTCCGCAGGCATAGCATCTTCCCAAACTTTTCCAATCTCGCTCCATTCTCCAACATATTCTTCCTTTTCACTTCCAACCTTCGCTAATCCACAACTAGCAGGTAACCACCTCCCCTCATCGGATTCGAGCAATGACTGTCGCAACTCTCGAACTGTTTCCAGAGGCGAAATGGCGAGGTGCAAAGACATGTAGGATTTTCCATCGAGCTCAACAATCGTTACTCGCTCTTGAGGTTCAGTGGGGGATGGCAGAAATGTAGAGAAAGTTGTGGGGTGGAGCAAACTAGGCGGTATATATGACGGTGCAGGTAGCAACAGTGTAAGGTCAAAAGTTTCTAACCCGGCGCTACACTCAATTTCCCATTATCACTTAGTTATAAGAAGGCATACCTTGCGCTAACAAGCTCTCCTTTCCTTGGTTTTCGAGCTCCTCTACGCCTCCATTTTCATTGACGAGTTCCACAACTTGGGCATTAGCATTAGCCATTTTGTTTTAACTGCTTCCAAAGTCCAAAGTAAGCACTGCTCGTGCAATAAGGCGAATTACTCACGGTACTGCACTTCTTGATAACTTTTCTTCCTCGCTTGGCGTGTTGCGAGCTCTTCAAAAATTTTATGAACTGTTCCGATTCCGACATTCGGCGGGAACGGCGGGTTTAGGCCGCAATAATGCGCAACCGCTCTTCCGGTCCACGTGAACCCTGCTGGTTGCCTATCCACAACGGCAACAACGAACGCAACATGTTTAGGACTGTGGGTTTGTGATCGTTATGGAAACAGAAACAAGTGTGCATTGCAACTTGACTTCCAAAAGCTCCTTATACTCTCAAGGTTGATATTTTGCAGTTTAAACTTAGTATACTTTAGAGAAGTTGTGGGAGAATGGTAATCCGGGCACTTGAGCTTATAGCTCGACCTTGTCGAACTGCTGCCTAATCTCAGTTCGAATCTGAGCGACTTCCCTTTTCCTTAACTTTTGCCTTTCGTATTAGACCGATTAAACATATGGATGCCTCTTACTCCTGGAGACTGTATTTAACTCAGAATGACAAGAGAGATGCCCTTATCACATGTAATGTATTAAGGATATAATTTCCTACCTCAACATCCTTAAATACCAACCGAAAAGTCTGGGAAGTCTCGAAACTGCATCTTCTGGTGGCTCTGCGTTTTCATCTTTCCAAAGCCACAATATCTTCCCGGCTTTGGCAGCAACCACAACTCGTTCGTTATTCCCATTCGTGAATACCTTTGAGAAGAGATCGCCCAAACCATCCATAAATCCGTCTACAAAGCGAACCGTCTGCTCAAACGTCCGATTAAGGATCTCGTCATTCATTGTGGCCAGCGAGCGAATGACTCCGAGATTGGAGGCGATGGGAAGAGAGACGGCGTGATGCCAGGAAACGACAGAGACAAGCTTGTATTTTGAGTCCAGAAAAATCTACACAGAGTTCAGTCATTTTGGACGCCAAGAAGAGTGTGAGAGAGTGGTAGCTTGCATTACTGGCTCGAAGATCCATGTGACAGCTTGCGAGGGGAAATTCCTTCAAAGAGTAAAGATTATTTCGGACATGTTGAATGGCAGCTTTAGCTTTTGGCTCCATGACGGTCTTCAGGATCCTATCCAGCTTCGGAGCAACAACATCATCCAGCACCTTCTCTGATGACTCCGTCCTTCGGCACTTGGCAATCAACTTGCCCAATTCAAAAGCGACGGCGAGATGTTGCTCATCATTCATCTCTTTCTCACAGTCCTCCCAAGACCTTCCATCAACGAATCGAGAAACAAATGCTACGGGGGCGCCGTCAAGGTGAACCCGTGAGACCTTAGGCACAATTTCTTCCCCAAGAACAGAGTTAGCGAACGCGTTTTCGTCGAGTGAGATCTCGCTTCTCCTGAATTGGACGAAGGCACGGTCGCCGCTACTGAATGTGACGAGAAACGATGTGGACGAAGTCGTTGCTAAGAGCGCTTTGGTATCCGACACTTCTCCAGAAGAAGAGGAGATCTGTCGAGCAGCTGAAGCTGCTGATATTGCGAGCTCTTCGCTGGTGAACAGTGAAGGTGAGCTAACAGGCATCTTCAGCGGATCTGCGGAACGTAAGGCTGTCGTGCAACCGGGAACATCATGAGACAGCGAATTTCGCAACGTACGGATATGATAGACACACACCTTTCACCAGTTCCGGTCAGGCGCTGCGGTGGCTTCTTCCCATCGCCGACTTCGGAGTAGAAGCAACTACCAGAAAGGAGAGTATTAATGGCAGGACGTTTCCTTTCGATCTCTCCACGAGTCAAACATGCGCTAGTTCACCAGCAACCACTAGTATTTCTTGAATCAGCCATTATAACGCACGGTCTACCGTCTTCACACTCTTCCGTCCCTCTCTCCTTGGAAAGAATCGTTGAAGGCCATGGAGCGGTTCCAAGCACTGTTGGTATCTTGGATGGCGTCATAAGGGTCGGTTTAAGCCCTCAAGAAATTGAGAGATTGGCAAATGAAGAAGGGAGGGAGAAAGCTGGTGTGAGAGAGATTCCAGCTTTTGTTGCTCAGGTGAGCTTTCTGCTCAAAGGTCTGTATGGGGGTCGGACGAGGTTAAATTCCTTCCGAATTATAGAGGAAAACTGCGGGCCTGACGGTGTCTGGAACGATGGAAGTTATGCGGCTTGCTGGTCATCAAGGTGTATTTGTGACTGGCGGCATTGGAGGGGTCCACCGTGGAGCTTCGTCTAGTGCATCCTCTCTCTACCCTCATTTCAATATGTTGACGTGAAGATTTAGCTTTTGACATCTCTTCAGATCTGCCTACTCTAGCTCGGATCCCAGGAATGGTTGTCTGTTCAGGTCCAAAGTCTATCCTTGATATCCCACTCACGCTGGAGTACCTTGTTCGTATTCCTCACGTTTACCGCACCGTGTCCTAACTCCTACGGCAATAGGAGACACTTGGAGTGCTAGTTTCAACTTATCGAAGCACGAAGTTCCCCGCTTTCTACACTTCTGATTCAGGTTGCAAGTCTCCACTCTCATTTGAGAGCTTTCAAGAGGCAGCGAGAGCATTATGGATTCTTAACTCGACGGACAGGGGTTCTGGAATGCTTCTTGCTAATCCAATTCCTCAGAAATTTGAAGACCGAGGATTAAGAATCCAGAAGATCGTCGAGGAGACTGTGAAAAAGGCGGAGGAAGAGGGGATTCATAAATTAGGCAAAGCGGTTACACCGTGGATCCTTGAGCGCGTAGCAAGAGAGACAAAGGGTGAAAGTATCGAAAATAGTAGGTCCTCTGTTGATGTGCCTTCAAGGTTTTCTTATGCCAGTGCGAAGACATCGCTCTCATCGAGAATAACGCAAGGGTGGGAGCTCAGATCGCTGTTGAATACTCTAAATTGCAACAGAGTGAAGATGTACCTCCTTCCGCTGCAGAGATAAAGGAATGAATTGACTCGTAGGTAGATGCAAAACATGGACGATCTCACAAAGGAATCAGCTTGAACACATCCTCAGAACAGTCACCTCTCGCTGTCGTCGGGTGTGCAGCAGTTGACATCACAGCACAGCAATCTCATCCTGCACGTCTTCACACTACAGTTCCCGGCCGTCTGTCATTGCAGATGGGAGGAGTCGCACGCAACATTGCTCACGCTGCTACTCTACTTTTGCGCCGTTCTGGCGTCACCCCACCAACGCTCATCGCCCCTGTTGCCACGGATGAGTGGAGTCAGATAGTGAAAGACAGGATGAAGTTGTATGACATGCGAACGGACGGATTGGTCACAGTACACGGGGGAAGGACACCGACATGCACACTTGTGCTTGATCAGGAGGGAGGATTGATGACTGGAATGGCGGATATGAACCTTGTTGAAAACTGGGATGAATGCGATATCATTGCTTCTTTGGAACGACTAGGAGGGCTGCAAATTGTTTGTTTAGACGGGAATCTCAGTTTTGTTCCCGGCCGTCTGTCATTGCAGATGGGAGGAGTCGCACGCAACATTGCTCACGCAGCTACTCTACTTTTGCGCCGTTCTGGCGTCACCCCACCAACCCTCATCGCCCCTGTTGCCACAGATGAGTGGAGCCAGATAGTGAAAGACAGGATGAGGTTGTATGGCATGCGAACGGACGGATTGGTCACGGTACACGGGGAAAGGACACCGACATGCACGCTTGTGCTTGATCAGGAGGGAGGATTGATGACTGGAATGGCGGATATGAACCTTGTTGAAAACTGGGATGAACGCGATATTATTGCGTTTTTGGAACGACTAGGAGGGCTGCAAATTGTTTGTTTAGACGGGAATCTCAGTGTTAAAGCACTTTCAGAAGTGGTTTCTTGGTGCCGCAAACACAACGTGAAAGGTACGCCACCCATCAAGCTCGCCAGTTGAGGCTAAGGGACCCTCAGTTGTGTTTGAACCGACAAGTGATCAGAAATCCCTCAAAATCTTGGATGCGCTTCTTCCCTTCAACTCTCACAGCGAACCCTTCATCACCCCTCTGGAGATCATCACTCCGAACGAACACGAAATTGTGCGCATGAATGTACACACTCTATTCAACGCGATCCCCCCTTCTCCCTCTGGGCTTCTGCACGAATTGTCCTCGCTCCGCCTTCCGAATTTCCTATTACCGATCGTACCATTGGCTCTCCAAATGACTACCATCTCCAGAAATGTCTTTACGAAACTCGGACCGAAAGGAGTTCTCGTCACCCAAAGACTTCCCTTAGATGACCGACTCCCCCCATCAGGGGACGAACTCCTGTATCATGTTGATGCAAGGACCGGACATGCTGTTGTTGCTTGCTATTTCCCGCCTGAGCGAGAGCTCAATGCATCCGAACTAGGAACAGTAGTAGGAGCAGGAGACTCGATGCTTGCTGGTCTGCTAGCTGCTTACCTTGAAGGGAGAAGAGGGGGGAATGGAGCCGCGCTGAGGGAATGGGTGAAGGTGGGAATGAAAGCAGCTGAGACGACATTGAAGAGCGCCGAGACAGTAGGGAGGCTTGACGAGCTGCAATGGTGATCCATCTTTTTCCCCAACTTTTCCAACCGCTCGATCGAACTAGACTCCCGATACGAGTAATACACGACCGCCTCCAAGTGTTTTCGCAGAGTTGTGGTACAGGAGCAAGACAAGCTCGAGACACATAAGGAAAGCGACGTCACGAGACTCACGTTGACGCGTTCGCGTTTTAAGTTTACTCGCGCTTTTGCCCATTGCTTTTTCTTTCTTTCCATCTCTTTCTACTATCTTTTCAGGTTGCCTCACACATAATAGTGTTTGTCTCGAGGTTTAGGACCTCATTTGTCTCGATGCACCCGTTACCACAGCACCCATCTGAGAGCCTGTCAACGACGTCACCCATGCTTCCTGCTTCCAACGACGCGTCTTCCAGTCCAACCGCTAACATACGACCACTCTTCACTGAGACAGAAGGCATTACATTTGCCAGTGCAAGCCCGTGAGTCCTTCATCCATCCGAGAAGAAGAATGCCTTATATATTTGGTCTGTCATACAGGACTGCTTCTCATGAAGCTCCGCCTGTTGGTACGCGTCTTTCCTCTTTTCGAAGTTGATATTGAAAATGAGATCTAGATACATCGACTGTCGATTCACAACCCTCTTCAGACTACCATGTCTGTTATGATAGCTTTTACTCGCTGCTGCCCCCTCCGTGTCAGCCAGACGACTGTAAGTCGATATATGTATACATGAATCCAGACTGACTCTGGGAGCCTGCCATATCTGATAATACACCATCTGTTGCAGTGGACGGTAACATTCCTTGCATCTCATCGAGCGAAGTTGACAGTAATCTTCAGCTCAACCAGTTCACGCTCAACAGCCTTTGAACACTCTCAGTTACGAACTCAAGAATGCTATAAGTAGGACCCATCCGCGATGATACTTTAGTGCTCAAAACGCAACAGGCTCTTGCAACGACGTGA